CCATGGCCTACGTCGTACCAGAGTAGAATAAAGGTCCAGATGCACACTATGGGCCCCCAAGTTGTTCCACCGCGAATCATAAACAGACTGGTAGCTAAGAGACTGGGACCAGCTCCACTACCAGCCATACTAGGCATCTGAAAATCAAACTGAGGAAAACCGTCGGCCCTCAAACTCATCGGTGTTACTAGTGGCTGTGGCTGTGGCTCATCTCTATCATTTATTTCTCGCACTAGCGCTATGGGGCGCCCAATGAATCTTCTCAATCTCTTTGTAGCTCCTCCAGAATTACGTGATCCTCCAGAATTACCAGGTGACGCCATCTCTTAACATAGTCAATAATTTTCTATTAATATCTTATAATAAATTATTTGTTGAGCAATTACTTGTTGTTTCATAGAGTAATTATGATACATACATAATTGTTATCTAATTAATTTAACTAGATAGTTATTTTACTTAATACGATAGGTAGTTATTTAAATATTTATTTCAACTTACTCAATTACTTAACTAAAACATCATAGATAATTATTTAAAATTAACAATTATTTACAATTTATTTAGTCCAATAATTATTTAGATAATTGTTATAATAAATTATATATTAGCATAGTCAATAATTATTTATTAATCTCTTATAATCAATTATTTGATTAGCAATTTGTTCATAATCATAATTTATCAATTACTAATTATGATACATACAACTTGATTATCCAATTAATTTATAATAAATTATTTGATTAGCAATTTGTTCATAGTCATATTTATCAATTACTAATTATGATACATACAACTTGGTTATCCAATTAATTTATAATAAATGATTTGATTAGCAATTTGTTCATAGTCATATTTATCAATTACCTAATTGTGATACGTACAACTTGGTTATCTAATTAATTTAACTAGATAGTTACTTTACTCAATACGATAGATAGTTATATAAATAATTATTTCAACTTAACCAATTAATAAACTAACACATTATATAATTAACAATTATATACTAATTTTATAATTAACAATTATATACTAATTATTCAACTATCAATATTAAACTAATTAAGATACTAACAATTGTATTTAAAATATATCTAATAAATATTTATTTAAACCGAATCAGAAACCCAACTAGATCGGTCCGACTAGACCGACGACGGCGAGACCGAATTAAAAAAAAACTTACCTCGACGGCGACGACTGGAACAACGGCTGCTTCTCCTGGGTGGCGGCTGCTTCTCCTGGGCGGTGGCGGCCGAGATCGGCCGAGGGTCCTGGCGGCGGCGACTTTTCCTGGCACGGGGGGTGGGGGGAGGGGGGAGCTCGGTGGCGGCGGCGGAGCTCGGCAGTGGAGGTCGGCAGGGGTGGGAAGTGAAGGGAGCAGAAGGGAGGGGTGAGATTTGGGGTAGTTAGGTTTAGGGTTTTTAAAATGAGGCAAGGGCAAAATCGTCATGTTTTTTATAACTACGGGCAACAAATAGTAAAACTACTGGCGGCAAATAGCGATTCATTAAGTTAGAGGTAATGCTGACACTTTTTTTCTGTTTTGTAGCTATACCTTGTTCAAAATGTTTGATGACCTGGTACTTCTGGCTAAAGGAGGACTTACTGTGTACCATGGGTCAGTTGCCAAAGTCGAAGGGTACTTCAATGGCCTTGGGATTAAAGTGTCGGACCACGTGAATCCTCAGGACCATTCCATCGACATTTTAGAGGGTATTGTTACGCCCAGTGCAAGCACAGTGGCGAACTATATTAACCTTCCTCTTAAATGGATGATGAATAACGGATACCCAATTCCACCCGACATGCAAGAGAATAATACCCCAGGAATTGTTATGCCTCCTCAAATGGATAGAAATGCCAGTGTCTTGCAGCTTGGTGATGGAGATGAAGACCAGTCTTTTGATGAGGAGTTATGGCAAGATGTGAAGGGTAATGTGGAGTTGCAGCGCGATAAGATTCGTGAACACTTTTTGATGCCAAGAGACTTTTCAAACCGAAGGACCCCAGGTGTATGGCGTCAGTATAGATACTACCTTGGCAAGTAATCTCCCAATAGCTCTAGTTATTGGGATGAAATGGTTCTTCACCAAGATTGGACTGAAGTCCTAGCTTCCAATATCATTTACTTTCAGCAGTATTATCCTAAAGTAATGTGGAGAATAAGCTAATGTTGGACTTCACAATATTATCTTTCAGATTCTTCAAGCAGCGACTACGGGAAGCCAAAATGCTAGCAGTGGACTTGCTTATACTGTTCCTTGTTGGAGCTTGCCTGGGATCGCTTGGAAAAGCCAATGACAAAAATTTGGGAGCTTCTGGATATTCACATACAATCATTGCAGTTTGTAAGCAGGATTTGGCGCATAATTTCCTCTGTTTTGCAGCTCCATCAATACATGTCGATCTGTTGGGATTTTGTCAGCTCTCCTTTGCAAAATAGCAGCTTTGAGATCATTTTCACTGGATAGACTACAATACTGGAGGGAGAGTGCCTCTGGGATGAGCAGCTTGGCTTACTTTCTAGCCAAGGATACTGTCGACCATTTTAATACAGTGATCAAGCCTGTTGTATATCTCTCCATGTTCTGTTTCTTCACGAACCCAAGATCAACCTTTGCCGATAACTACATAGTTTTGCTTTGCCTTGTCTACTGCGACACCGGTATGGCCTATGCTTTGGCCATCTTTTTTGAAGCAGGACCTACCCAGCTGGTGAGTTGATTTCTGGAATATAAGCTCTGCTGTCTGCAATTTACAAGAGAAGTCGGGTAGAAGAGAGAACTCTTTCTTCTGTGAAGGTCATTTGCTTGCTCAGCTTCTCATACTGAACTGGTACTGTTCTCTCATTTCCTAAAACTCCTTTTCATTTCAGTTTGTTCTATTTCTACTTCAGATTCTGCTCAATCATGGCTGTTGTGGCTGCTGCACTCATAGGAGACGTAGTGTTGCTACTAAAATCATTCGGGGGTGCCGAGCAGACTGATTTGTCCAAGAGTTTCGTCAATGCACATCGATGGATAGCCAGCCTCACCAACACTATGGAGCTCATAGAAGCCAGTATCGTTGTTGCTCAGAAGAGGATGGTTGGTATAGATAACTTCAGGGAGAAAGACCTGATGGACCTCTGGCTAGACAAGATGAAATCACGCTTGGAAGATATTGATGACGTCTTGGACGAGTGTGCAACGCATATTGCAGTCTTTGCCAAAATGGATCAACGAGAAACTTGTTTGAGAGGCTGTTGCTGTCAATTGGTCTCTATTTGCATCAATGAGAGATACCGTGTGAAAGCTTCCAAGTGGCTGTACGATTTGTGTCCCATATTTCCATGTTGCAGTACGAGTGACATGTGGAAGCGACTATCTCTAGGTCAGAGGGTGATGTATTTGACGGCTGAACTTGAGACCATCAACAAAGAACGATAACTATATGAAGTTCAGGTTGCATGTAACCCGCTGGACCACTTTAAGCAATTGAGTAGGCAGATAGACGGCAGTGAAATGGATTTTGCTAGGGTCAAAGACAGAGGAGAGGAAAAAGAAGCTGTTGTGAATATGTTATTGAATGAGGCAGAACCTAAAGTGATCTCCCTCTTGGGGTTGGGCTGCATTGGCAAGACGACAATAGCGAGAATGGTCTTTGCCGATCCACGAGTGGTTGATCGTTTCAAAGAGGATAGATTCTGGATTGCCCTATCTTACTCCTATGATAACGATCTCATTAAACGAGTCATGGAGTACATTAACGGTTCAGAAGAACAGTACAGATCCATTGACATGAATGATTCTCTTTGTCAGATTTCAAAAAAGGTTTAAGGTCGAAGGATTCTTTTGGTTTTCGATAACGTGTGGGAAGGGGAGGAAAATGACTGGACACAGCTGCTGGACGCATTAAGACTTGGCCTTCCCGGAAGCAAAATATTGGTCACTTCAAGGAATTGGACAACCGGCCATTTGCATGCTAATTCCTGCAAGATTTTTACAGTACTGGAGCTGCCTTTGGAAGACTATTGGGCAATTTTTCGTGATGCTACTCGACCAAAATGAAGTCGTGCTGATCATGACCATGAGGATTTGCTCAGAGATAGAGTATTGGGATTGTGCAATGGTTTGCCGTTTATTGCTTCAGAGGTAGTGTCCATAGTTTGTAATCACTTGGTTACTAGTGGACTTGGAAGCGTCAACATCTCGAAGATGAAATTATGGAGTCAATATGAGAAGGGTGTTTCTCCCTATGGACGTATCTGGCTAGACTACTACAAGATGAGTCAGAATATGAGAAGATGTTTGTCCTTCTGTGCAACCTTGCCCCCCAACTCTGTTCTTGACAAAAAGGAGTTGATTGACCTTTGGATGGCTCAAGGTCTACTGCAGGGGTCGGACAATAAGGACAACAAAGACGACAGCACGGGAATTGATCCTGATCATCATTTCCATTCGTTAGCTTCTCAATCCATCTTCAAAGATGTGGAAAAGAGTGAAGATCTTTTTGGAAAGAAACTTTATTTCAAGATACATAAGTTGGTTCATCAATTTGCAAGATTCATTGGTAAGGAAGAATCTGTTTGTCAAATTGTTAAGAATCTCGGTCCTGGTGAAGGGCAGACATCAAGCAAGCTACCACTCCAAAGATCAAGCAAGGTAAGATACCTTCGTCTAGTAATCTCTGGAACAGAATTCCCAGACGTTTCCCTTAAGGAAGGGTTGCGTAGCTTGGTGGTTCAAGTGAGCGATCACTCTCCTGGTGACCTCATCAACTCAGCCACTTTTTCCAAATTGCTCACCCACTTGATACGTCTCTGATCCCTCGCCGTTAGCAACTGCAGGGTTCAGAACATCCCAAAGATTATAAGTGCCTCATCCATTTGAGGTTGTTGGATGTGTCTAGGAATAGAAACTTAACCGAGTTGCCGGAAGAAATTTGCGACTTGTATAACCTATAAACATTGAGTAGACTGGTGTACCGAGCTGGTTAGTCTGCCCGAGCGTATGGGCCAACTAGTGAACCTCAGGAACTTCTACAACTATATGACACAAGCGTATCTTCCGCGAGGGGTCAAGCTTAAGAGGTTGTCTATGTTCACTGTGGGAGATGATGGGCAAGAAGGGATGTCAAGTCTTGATGACTTGACGAATTGTTTGGGTCAAATTAATGGGTTTCTACTTTCTATGCATCAATAAGTTCAGACGTGCAAGAAACTTGGGGAAGGTGAGGGTTTTGATGTTTAAACATAACATAAAATGTTTGGAAATACGATTTGGTGAAAAGGGAGATCGAGTAGTGGATGATCCTATGGTGTCACGTGATGAGGAGATGTTGTGCTACTTGAAGCCTTACCAGGAGCTCAATGGGTTGCGTGTCAATGGATATTATGGGACCATAACGCCCGTATGGTTTGATCTCCTCGGTTCCTTAAAAAGTATAATCCTTTCTGACAGTCCACTATGGGTAGAGTTGCCCTTGTTTAGCCGTTTGAAGGATTTGGAACTCTTAGAGTTCAGAGGGAAGAATGGGGGTAAAAGTTCCAGATATGACTTTTTTGAATGCGACAGTGGCAATAGATGGAGCTCCTGAAAAACTCATATCCAAAACTGTCACACCCTTCATCCCTCTGAACTCTACAAGTTCCAAATGCTACAATGGCCAAGCGCGGGCAACTCCACCCACAGTGGACTGTCAGAAAAGATTATACTTCTTAAAGAACCAAGGAGATCGAACCATAGGAGCGTTATGGTCCCATAATAGCCATTGACACACAACCCTTCAAGCTCTTGGTAAGGATTCAAGTAGCTCAACAACTCCTCGTCACGTGACATCATAGCATTATCTACTACTCGATCTCCCTTTTCACCAAATCTTATTTCTAAACATTTAATGTTACTTTGAAACATTAACTCCCTCACCTTTCCCAAATCTCTTGCACGTCTGAACTGATTAATACATAAGAACCCATCAATTTTACCCAAACATACCTTCAAGTCATCAAGACTTGTCATCCCTTCTTGCTCATCATCTCCCACAATAAACATCAACAATCTCCTAAGCTTGCTCAACTGCTTGACTCCTCGAGGAAGATACGCTCTCGTCATATAGTTGTAGAAGTTCGTGAGGTTCACTAGTTGGCACATACGCTCAGGCAGATTGACCAGCTCGGTACACCAGTTGACACTTAGTGTTTCTAGGTTGTACAAGCTGCAAATCTCTTGCGGCAACTCGGTCAAGTTTCTATTCCTTGACACGTCCAGCAACCTCATATGAATAAGGTCACTTACAATCTTTGGGATGTTCTGAACCCCACAGTTGCTAACAGCGAGGGACCGGAGGCGTATCAAGTGCGTGAGCAATTTGGACAAAGTGGCAGGGTTGAGGAGGTCACCAGGAGAGGAATCGCTCACTTGAACCACCAAGCTACGCAACTCTTCCCTATGGGAAACGTCTGGGAATTCTGTTCCAGAGATTACTATACGAAGGTATCTTACTTTGCTTTATCTTTGGAGTGGTAGTTTGCTTGATGTCTGCCCTTCACCAGGACCGGGATTCTTAACAATTTGACAGACAGATTCTTCCTTACCAATGAAGCTTGCAAATTGATGAATCAACTTATGTATCTTGAAAGTAAGTTTCCTTCCAAACAGATCTTCACTCTCTTCCACATCTTTGAAGATGGATTGAGAAGCTAACGAACGTAAATGATCATCATGATAAAATTCCACGCTGTCTTTTACTTGGCCCGACTCCTGCAGTAGACCTTGAGTCATCCAAAGGTCGATCAACTCTTTTTTGTCAAGAACATAGTTGGGGGGCAAGGTTGCACAGAAGGACACACATCTCCTCATATTTTGACTCATCATGGTGTAGTCTAGCCACATACGTCCAAAGGGAGCAACACCCTTCTCATATTGACTCCATAATTTCATCTCCGAGATGTTGACGCTTCCAAGTCCACTAGTAACCAAGTGATCACAAACTCTGGACATTAACTCTGAAGCAATAAACGGCAAACCATTGCACAATCCCAATACTCTATCTTTAATCAAACCCTCCTGTTGATGATCAGCACGACTCCATTTTGGTAGAGTAGCATCACGAAAAATTGCCCAACAGTCTTCCAAAGGCAGCTCCGATACTGGAAAAATCTTGCAGGAATCAGCCCTCAAATGGTCGGTTGTCCAATTCCTTGAAGTGACCAATATTTTGCTTCCGATAAAGCCAAATCTTAAGGCGCCCAGCATCTGTGTCCAGTCATTTTCATCCCCTTCCCACACGTTATCGAAAACAAAAAGAAACCTTCGACCATGAATCTTTTTTGAAATCTGACGAAGAGAATCATTCATGTCAACGGATCTGTACTGTACTTCTGAACCGTTAATGTACTACATGACTCGTTTAATGAGATCGTTATCACAGGAGTAAGATAGGGCAATCCAGAATCTCTCCTCTTTGAAACGATCAACCACTCGTGGATCGGCAAAGGCCATTCTCGCTATTGTCATCTTGCCAATGCCGCCCAACCCCAAGAGGGAGATCACTTCAACATTATCATCAGGGGTTGCCTCATTCAATAACATATTCACAACAGCTTCTTTTTCCTCTCCTCTGCCTTTGACCCTAGCAAAATTCATTTGACTGCCGTTCATCTGCCTCGTCAATTGCCTAAAGTGGTCCAGCGGGTCACATGCAATCTGAACTTCATTTAGTTGTCGTTCTTTGTTGATGGCCTCAAGTTCAGCCGTCAAATCCTTCACCCTCTGACCTAGAGATAGCTGCTTCAACATGTCACTCTTACCGCAACATGGAAATAAGCTACACAAATCGTACAGCCACTTGGAAGCTTTCATACGGTCTCTCTCTTTGATGCAGATTGAGATCAATTGACAGCAGCAGCCTCCCAAACAAGTTTCTCGTTGATTCATTTTGGCAAAGATGCAATATGCGTTGCCCACTCATCCAGGACGTCATCAATATCCTCCAAGCGTGATTTCATCTTGTCCAGCCAGAGGTCCATCGGGCCTTTCTCCTGGAAGTATCTATACCAACCATCCTCTTCTGAGCAACAACGATACTGGCTTTCATGACCTCCACAGTGTTGGTGAGGCTGGCAATCCATTGATGTGCATTGACGAAATTTTTGGACAAATCAGTCAGCTCGTTACCTGCTACTGATTTTAGTAGTTACAGTAGGTCTCCTATGAGTGCCCCAGCCACAGCAGCCATGATTGAGCGGAATCTGAAGTAGAAATAGAAAAAACAGAAATGAAAAGGAGTTTTAGGAAATACATCTCTGTACACCCCAAATTAAGCTTAAAATATAATCGTAATGAGAAAACAATACCAGTTCAGTAGGAGAAGCTCAGCAAGCAAATGACCTTCACAGAAGAAAGAGTTCTCTCTTCTACCTGACTTTCTCTTGTAAATTGCAGACACCAGAACGCTAATCAATTACCCTATATAATTCAGCATTCATTCCCATTTCGACCGATTGGTCCAAAGGATGTTGTCCCTGCTCAGAAGAAAGCACACAACAGTTTTGTTTCAGATCCATGTCGCGATGTACAAAAGCTGCAAAGGAGTAAAGACAGGGTTGAGCAATAAAAAGCCACGCTAGCAAGTTGAAGCTGCGGAGCAATTTCTATATATCATGACAGCACTCAAGGCAACAACTACGGTCAGACAAGGGACATGGAATATATACACGGTACATGCTCTAAGGGAAAAACAAACAGGCTCAGATCTGGATTTATTTGACTAGCCAGCAGATAAAGTACTTTACGCACAGGAGAAACATTTCGACATCAGCTATATGAAAGGACAATCCATATCAAATATACGAAAAGACAACAGCAACGGCAGCAAAGCACAACAACCAGAACTAACTAAATGATCAGAGCGAGCCGAAAAGCAAACAGAACCCCAATTGAAAAGAAAAGGCTGTAGAAAATTATAAATGGGCCAGATAAGCAATACGAGGTTCTGCTTACCATATATCAGCCTTTCAACCAACTGCTTTCCACGTGCACAAGATCACCTTTGCTTCTCAATCAAGCCAAAGATGCAACACTATTCAGTTTCCTAAAGAATATGGTAGGCAGGATCCTATCATAGTGAAAAAAACGTGAAGTAAAGAGAACAGTTGAAGCAAGCAAGTAGATGAAATGAACAGAACAGGTAATGAAGTAACAAACGTGGCCAAATAAATAAGTGTGAATGCCAGAGCACAGAAGAAGAAGTACATCGGCTAGAATATGACAAGAGGGAATTAGAAGTAATATTCTCCGACACGCATGTTCATGGTTGCGGACAATGTAGTCAAATCGCCCTTAAAAACTTACGATTTTACGTTTTTAGGTCACTAAAACGCTTCTACACAAAGTCCCAGTTTTTATAACTTATGTAGTTAAAAACTACGCTTTAAAACTTAAAAACTTACGATTTTACGCTTCTAGATCACCAAAACGTTTCTACGCGGAAACTCGCTTTTGACTACATTGGTTGCGGAATCTGGATAAAACTAATAGTAGAGTTGATAAGGGAAAAAGTGGGAAATGATTAGTGTTCAGATTTTAGATTCGCTTTAAAATATGCAGTCACTATTAAAGGATGCAACAGAGAAGGCAACTGATAAAGCAGTCATCTCAACGACAAAGCGCGACATCCTCCTGAACCATCTTCTATCTAGCAACCATGGAAAAGAAAATAAGAATAAAGGACACCAAAAAGTAAGAAGAGCCCAATCGTTTTAAATTACACAACTACATCGTTTCAGAAATCTACTCGATCATACAAGCAGCAGCAGCAAAAATATTAGAGTGATAGGAAGTTCTACAGATACATCTTTCACCAAATCAATCAATCGCTAAAGCAGCAAAAGTAAAACAGATTACTGAACCCCGACAAATTCAACCAGAAGACTAATCTAAAGACAACAGCAATTATCCGAACTAGAACGAAGAAAGTGAGCAGATGAAATGGAAAACAAGCAATTTCAATCGGGGATACAGTCCCCGGAGTGATATTCTTCCTCGTCAGGGAATTTGCAAAACTCCTCACAAAGAATTGGGTAGAAAGCAAACTTTGGACCCTAATTCGCCTGCCCAGTCATCAAAGACCTCTAAAAAGGAAGCAGAAGATGGACTCAGAAGCTGAGCCCCATCAACTACATTCGATTAAGGAATACCCAAGAGATGGCAAGAAGATTGCATGTACAAGTACAACCCACACAATCAGCGAACCTTTCTACCAAAAAAAAATCAGCGGAACCATGGTAGGATGAAGAGAATTGAGAGAGAGATAACCTAACGACGAAAATCGACGAGAATCGACTATAGAGAAGGCGTATCAGTGGTTTAACTGGAGCTGAAGTTGGATTTGGAGATACGAACCATTGTAAAATGTGGAAATTGAGAAGAGGGGAGGGAGACGACTGGCGACGACCGGAGAGAACTGGAACGAGTGTGTCTCTCTCTTCTTGCGTCTTCGATTTGTAAAGAAGAAGAGCAAGAAAACAGCAGCTGGAAAACTTCTCCAATCGAGCCGGGAGTGTGCACTGTGCACGCGTTTCCTTCCTTCTATTTCCTCTTCCCCAAGGTTGTCAACCCGCAGGTTGACCCGGACCCGGTCGAGCTAGTGGGTCAAGGGTTAATGGGTCAACCGTTTTAGCCCGGTTTGGCCCGGAAATATGAAAATATGGGTTAATTGCATGATTGGTCACTGAGTGGGTCTTGAATTTTTGGATTGCTGGGTATGAGCGAATGTGAGGAGGTTGGCTTTGAGGTAGCTGCCGGGGAAGGAGGTGGTGGTGAGGCAGTGATGGAGAAGTCGAAATGACTTTTTTCTTCTATTTAATAGTTATAATTGAGGTGGAAAATAAATAAAAAAGTGATTTTATAAATTTTTATTATTTTTAATTGCCACGTCACACATTTAACGGTCAACTTTTAGAGTTGACTGCCATGTAAGCAAAAGTTAACGGAGTTGGACGGAGAGTGACCAAACGTGAACGGTTTCAGTAAACTGAAGTACCACCAATGGATTTAAATAATTCGGGTGACCAAACTTGAACGTTTTTTATAATCTCAGTGACCAATCATGCAATTAACCCCATAAAATATAGTTTCATGTTATTAAAAAAAATGGTAAATGCCAAGTTTGGTTACTAGGATTACTAAAATGTGTCATGCTTAGTCACTGAAAAAAATTAATATCAACGATGGTCACTCGAATTAGTAAAACGGTCCATGTTTAGTCACTCTCCGTTAGTCTCCATTAGTTTTTGTTAACACTGTCAGTCAATTGCTTATGTGGCTAACTGAAGTGCTGACTCGCCATTTTTTTAACTCACCACATCACCAAACCGGCCCTCCATGTCACTCAACCCAATACAAACTCTAACCCAACCCAAACAAATCATGATCTTGACCCTTTTTGCCTCTCATCCTTCTTTGCCTAATCCACCTTCTTCTTCTCCCTCTCTTCCTCCATCGAAGAAACCAGAATAAAAGTACCCAAAACTCAATTTGCCTCCTCCAATGTCGTTCTCGAGGTACCCAACTACCGCATCTGCTTCATGGAGCTATAGATCTCTTCCACAACGTTGCCAAAGGCAGTCATGGAGGGTGGAGGCAGCACGGCGGTCAGAGCCATAGTCACCGGCGCTCCTGTCTCTCTCACTAAAATCAGAGCTCTGCTTTCCCCCTCTAATGGTAGTTTCTTCATTATAACCCATTTCTCAACTCCCCACCCACCAATACTCCCCCTTTAATTTGTAGTCAGTGGACATGAAAACGAGGAGCAGGATATATGGTTTTGGTTGTAGACGATGCAGGCTCCTTTCTATTTGCAAATGGAATTACGTACGACCATTTGCTAATCTTCATCTCTTAAATGATAGGCTTCATCACTCATTCCATTCTCTCTTATTTGCGGAGAAAGTGTTTCCTCTTTTGTTTCACCATACGAAAATTGGATTGTCCTATACGTATATTTTTGAAGCATATGTCAAATCGAATCAATCTTTCTCCTTAGCTTCCATCATAGTATCCCCATTATACACCTTCATAATAAGATTGGGTATAACTGAAAAATGATTAAATGAACATATTCAAATCACAACTCTAAATTTAGCATAGAAATTCTAGCCCCAAAAGATTATTTGAGAATTTAGTAATTTACTAGAGCAGTTGGTGGATAAAGGGATGGAGGATGGACGCATAATGCAAATTGATTAGTCGATTGATTTGTCTAGTGTTGACGCTGCACGTGTCAACAGCTACTACGGAGAGAACCTTTTCAATAATGAAACATGTGAAACTGATTTGCGCAACAAAATAAGCGATGAATTTCTCATCGATTGATTTGCCTAGTGTTGAAGCTGCTCGTTTCAACAAAATTACGAAGAGAACCTTTTCAACAATGAAACATGTGAAAACTAATTTGCGCAACAAAATAAGCGATGAATTTCTCTCTCTTGATGTCGTTCGTCTACTTATTATTTGTAGTTCTTTCTAAGGTTGGTTGTCTCTTCCGGACATCTAGTAAGATTATCCTTGAGTTAATCCAAATGAGAAGTCCTTGATATATGTCAATGCCATTGTACCCATGAATACGAGGTTAATTTTATGTGAGTATTATCCTATGCTCAAGCAACATCGAGATTCAAACTGATGTCCTACCACAGTAATAGTATGAATCCAGTTTACTTCGACTATCTCTAATATTTACTTGTGTTTCTCCGTCTACGACTTCTGTTCTATTCATTTTACTTCAACTATCTCTAGTATCTACTTGTATGTTTCCACCTATAAAATTTCTTCTATTTGTGAATGGAACTATGACCATTTGTGAATCTTCATCTCTTACATGATAGGCTTCATCACTCGTTCCATTCTTTCTCTTATTTGTGAAAGAGTGTTTACTCTTATGTTTCATCATACGAAAATTGGATTGTCATATCATACATGTATAACTTTTAAGTAGAGGTGGCAATTAAGATCCAAATCCATCCACCAAATTATCCATATAATCCAAATCCAATCCATTTGTTCAAAATCCAATTGGATTGATGGATTCATAGATCAATCCATGGATCCAAATGGCAAATTACGATTTGGTACCTATATTTTTTATATTTTACATTTTGGTACCTAAAATTTATATTTTTATACGAAAATATCATTGGAAAATTACATTTTGGTACATCAAAATTTTCGTTATGACATTTTAGTACCAAAACTTTTCAAATTTTACATTTTGGTCCAAGCCTTGGATGTCATTTGGATTCATGGATCAATCCACCAATCCATTTGATCCAATCCATTAATCCACCAATCCATTGCTAATCCATTTGATCCACCAATCCAATCCACGAATCCTAAATCCGATCCAATTGCCACCTCTACTTTTAAGCATATGTCTCAATGTATCAATCTTTCTCCAGGGCTTCCATTTTGGTATCCCCATTACACATCTTAGATGTCAGGTTAGCATCACTAACGGAACACATATGGTAAGTTAAAATCTGGTTAATTTTTCGTATTTCATTTGACATTTTTTATAATAAACTAAAAAATATGACTATATTATTGTATTAATCCTTAATAAACCGCACAAAATTTTAGGAAATAATTCACCACATGCCAATATCATAAATTCATATATAAAAGTAGAGGAAATCACAAGGAATCCACACGAACAATTAAGGCTGCAAATCGATACAAAAAAACATGATCGAAGTAATTAAATACATTTCACTACTTGCAGAGTGCAGCCAAAATCCGACGTGGTGGAGTGAAAAGCTTTCTAGCATGAAGAACTGCCCAATTGTCTATCAAGAGGACATCTCCTTTCTGCCAAGGAATTGCCACGCTTTCTTCTTCCATGATCCGTAAACAACCATAGACTACATCGCTAGGCAAAGGGTCGCCATTCCCAAAGGCGACAGACTTCGTCGGATCATTTCGTTTGTCGCCAAAAGCTGTATAACCCGCCACCATCCCATTAAACCAAACCTTACGATTCCTCGAGCGATCGTGCTTGATCGCCGGGTTCGGGCCAATTACTGTTCTCACCATTGATCCATCTCCGATCCACTCCAGCTTCATTCCAAGCTTTGATGCCCTGTAATTTGCGTCATTAAAGTTGAAACAAATAGCAAAACTTCAGGGGACGACAATGAGATCATAGGAACAAAACCTTTCACTAGCAACATGCTTGTCATGGGTGGAAAACGTTGATTTCCAGCCTCGACCAATGGCGGAAGAAGGGTCGTCTTCTTCGGTCAGCACTCTGTTCGCGAGCAATCCTTCATCTTCCAGCCTCCCCACAAATTCAGGGTACTTCTCCTTCATCCTTTCGTATACCACGTGGCTCAGAACCATTGGTGTCTCGCCGCCACTCGCTGGCTCCACTTCGCAAAAGAAGAACAACTTTGTCGGGAACTCTGGAACCTGGAGTGCGACTCGAAAACAATTTCATCATAAGAGTATCTTCGGTTACTTGGCTGGTTTTGAGACGATTCAGAATCGAATGTTAAGCATGCATGTATGCACTTTCGAAACTATAGACCGGCAAACAATGTAGTCAAACTATAGTTTTTATGGGTAAGCGAAATGATGGTCACTTTACTTTAGTTTATTTTTACCAAAGAAAATGTGTTTGACCAGCCCACTCATTGCCCAACTTATTTCATAAACCTCGACCATTAGAAGCTCTTAAAAGCATGTTAAAAACTAGATTTTAAGAATTTTAATGTGCTTATAGAGCTTCTAAAAAGCTTATATCAAGTTTATAATAAAAAAAAAAATACTATATTTGAAGAGAGAAGAACGTAAAAGCAAAAAACTTTTAAACTCAAACTATAGTTTTTAACTACTTTGCCTCCAGAATAATGAGATATTGTAAACCTTTAAAAAAAAAGACCATACAAAAGCCACATCAATTGCAAGTATATTCTCATGTGCATAGATTTTCTAATGAATCTATACCAGAAATGGTGAACTACTCGCATAAGGATAAGCACTCTGCAATATAATAATCCAAAACATGCAAAATCCCAACTCCTAAGCAACCCATTAAACAACGAATTGATTGCACCTAATCTTTTGTGTACCCACATGAGCCAGCTCGTGGTGGAAGGGAATCTTCTGGTCGGGCGGCGACTCATTCGCGGTGGAGACCGACGACTTTCGTCCGGGAGGCGGCGCCGCCGACGTAAGGGTATTCCGGGAACCCAAACGCCTCCACGGCCTGATTGAAGTCGGAAGCAGTGGACAGAGGGAATCCCCTGAAGAGGATCGCCCCTGTTTCGTGAAGCAGAGTATCGAGGTACGGCTTTTGGGATTCGATGGCGGAAGTGAAGTCTAAGAGGGTGGGCGACCATGTTGCGGCCGGAGACAGGATGGCCGGGAACGGCGGGGAATTGTGTAGCAGCTTCTGGTTTGGGATATGGATTTCGCTGAAAAGATTCGACATTTTTGTGCTCTTGATTTTGAACTCCCCTGCTCTGGCTCTGGGTTTGCTTAACTCAGGGAAGGATGGAGAAAGTGGGGACAAGCTACGTTGCTAACTCCATGAGGGGTTAGCACCATACTAATCACTTTAATCTTTATTTATTATATTTAAGTAAATTTGAGAGTGGAGAATAATAAAGGATATATTTAGTATTTTTAGAAATTAAATTTAATAAATAAAATAACAGTTTATAATATTTATTTCGTCTCTCTCATAGATATACTGTTAGTAGTAGTTTTGGTGACTTGTACTCTTGTAGTAGTGTTTTTACAGGTGTAGCGTAGTTATATTAATTTAACTACTAGTATTTCACCCTTTTTAAGAGTAGTAATTGCATAAGTAAGAATCACTACTAGAAAAATAACTGAATTGCTATTTGTCGCCCTAAAATTTAAATTTTATCGCCCTAAAATACACTAAATTGACATATTTATCTCTAGCCCTAATTCATTTCAGCACTCTGGGTAGCTGCCACATACACCATCATCACCCACCTAGCATCCGTGGGAGTGATCCTCAAGCCACAATATGAAAAAAAGTTTATGCTCCACTTCATCTTCTTGGACGTGGTCAATAGTAACTAACTAATTTACCACTTACCACCCTGTCTCTCACTTTCATCAATCTAGCCCTGGAGTTGGCTCTAGGGCTAGTTTCCACGTCCACCGCGGCGGCCGGCGGTGTGGCCTACGTCGGCCTGAAGGGCAAGATCCCACCCTCCACAACGACAACTGCCTAGCTATTATCCTGATTGAAGTTATTGGCACGTTTTTGAGTTGTTGTTGTTGTTATTGGCGTGTGTTTGAGTTGCTACGCAAGATGATGACAGTGATGACCACGACGATTGCGCCTCCGGTGAGGTGGTCGGCTCCAACAATGAGTGGATGTATGTATTTGTTTTAGTGTGTAATTGTTTGAAAGAAAAAAAAATAAGGGCATTAGAGTAAATTTAATATAATTAGGGCGACGAATAAGGATTTTTAGGACGACGAATAGCAATCCCCAAAAATAAATCACTATTACAAATAAAAAAATTAGTACTACAAATAAGCAAAACACTACTAGTTAACATAAACCAGCGATTACAATCAGAATCACTACTTACAAATGACTGCAACATACTAATATCTATAAATAAGAATCATAACAACAAAATCACTACTAATCAACACAATTACACTAATATCTACAAACATAATCACTACTAATCAAGAGACATATCTATGTCTCTTTTATAATTGATTATGAGCCATATTTGATAACTAATCACCGCAATTACAATGATAATTTATCAACACCTTATGGAATCACTGCGAGGACAAAGCATCAGCTTCATTATCTTGCTTCAACAAGCATATTTGTTGCTTCATTCGAATAGGCGCCGATTGCCAGGAGAAACAGGGCATTGGACGATCAAAATGGAGGAGGGAGAATGGATCAATCGGAGGCGAAACTGTTGGCGGAGCCCCAAATCTGGGCGGCGGTGGCCTTGAACAGGAAGGACGAGGCAACAAGAAGGAACGTCGTTCCCCCGGATCGATGGCCTCGGACGCGGAACTGGTGAAAGAGCACCAAGGCGGTTGTAGACTTGAAAAGAGCCATCGCCGCGAACGTCTCCCAGCTCACCGACGAAAACACCCTTCCCGCCGGCTTCAACGCTTCCCTCCGCTTGCAAGCACCCTTCTCTGGCTTTTCTAGGTTTTGGCTACAAACCGTGACTGAGAGATTTAAAGAGGAAACCGTAAATGTGAAAACAGGTGGAAAAAGGGTATTTATATTAGGGTTTGTGTAATTGTTGACTAAAATATCCTTGAGTTAATTCTGGCCCTAGGATTATTATTCTAATCTAATGGTTGTTAGAGTGGTTAGTATGGTGCTAATCTCTTAAGACTAAGAGGTTAGTACCTAATCTCATTCCGAGAAAGTGTAGCGAGTGATTGATGGTGTTCGCAAGTGGGAGCTTCTGGCTTTCTATAATTGCTCAGTTTTGGCTCCTAAAGTTGGAAATCCTCACTTGTGAAAGTTGGTGTTTGATTTGGATATTTGGCCTACTACACTGATGTTAGTTATTGTTTAGGGCTAAAATCATTTTTTTGGCTGTAATTTTTTTGGCCCATTCTCAACAAAGTTTCGGAGCGTCAAAACAACAACATTGTTTCGTCAATAATATCGTTGTGGTGCCAAGCAACAATATTATTTCATCGATGACGAACAATGACAGACTGGAGAGGGAATCGTTCCTTCTTCATAAAGGGAGCGACTAAGACTGTGACTGTCTGTCTCCAAGTTTCGCCCAAAGTCACATTTAGTTTTTGGGTGGGTTGGGGTCAGGTCGGCTGGTTAGGATGGTTTGATTTGTTGATTTTTTATTTATTTTTTGGGTGACATGTCAAACTGATTGGACCTAAACTAACTGTTTTTTTATAGAATTGGACGGAATGACCGTTTTGGTATTTGTCCAAATGTGTTTTACTAAAACGTATAAAATTGAAATTTAGTGACCATTTTGTATTAAGTGACAATTTATGTAACCGTTTATGATATATATACCCGCGGATAAATCACCTCCAAAGTTCTAGGATTTCGTTCCAACATGAATTCAAAAAATGAATACCACATACAAATTCTCATCTCACAAGAATTGGCATTTTGCCATTTTCATTGTTAAAAAAATATTATTCAACATACAAACACACATGTATGTAATGATGATGGTGGCGATCTCAACACTGCAAAGACGAGGGAGCAGAGACGAGCGGAATTGGATATGGTTTTGTTTGTTAAAAAAAAATTAGTACATTATTATCCAAATCTTTCCCACATTCTTTTTTATTAGCTAAAAAATGTTATTTTTTCGCTAGCAATTTTGTTAGTAATATTGTTTTGGTAACATGATACTGACTTGGAAAAGACATATGGAGGTCAACATTTTAAAAGTTTTACATTTTAACTAAGAAACGAGTTACAAAATTATTAACATTAACACAAAAATGACCGAAAGTTTGGTACATTACAACAAATTTGGTTAATTATTAGTAATTCAATAAATTTAATTCATAAAAAAAAGGATGTGGTTTTGTGTTTGAGTGGTGTTAATGTGAAAGCGTTGCTTCTTCATCTCCGGCTTTGCTTCATAACGAAGGGAATCGATTAAAACAATGGATTATCGATGAATCAAATACATCATTATCACTCATCAAGATACAAACAAGCGAGTGAAAATTGCGTATGCACACTTCTCAACACTAGACCCATCCGCACGCAATCCTGCCTCCCCCATTCGCACCTTTTCCACGTCACCGTCCGTCAGTCACCGCGACCACCGCCGCCCCTGAAAACCAGCCACGAGTCTTCCTCTTCAACCCTCCGCTGCTCCGCGGATTCCGCCTCTCCACGTCCGCCCTATAAAAAAATATCCCCGCCCACAACCGCCCGTCACTCTATCTTATCCCATCTCTCTCACTTTCATCGTCGCGATTCCACACTACTCTTATAACAAGTAACTGAACTCTCCCTTCTCTTCTTCGTTAAGGTCCTGCTGCTCACCTTGGTATCGACGGAATTTTTTTTTACAGGAGAAATCGGAAATGACGATGGCTACATCGTTTCCGCTGAGGTCGTTCCTCGTTCTGTCGCTGGTCGCCTTGTCCCGGGCTGCGATCGACTTCGCGTCCATGGCCGAGTCCAATTTCCCGTCGGTCCAGGCGGAGAAGTTCATTAGGGATCTCAATCTGTTCCCTAAAAAGGAAGTTAATGTCGTCGAGGGTGGCGCGGCGCCGATTCGCGGCGACGCACCCACTGGGAAGAAGATTGTGGAGAAGAGGATCAGCTTCCCGAATCTGGTTGGGGAAGGCGAGGTCGGATTTGCCGTCGAGGATTTGGGGCACCACGCTGGTTACTACAATATTGAGCATTCCTATGCCGCTAAGTCAGTCCCAAACTTCCCTATTTCGCATTGGTGTTTTGCTATTTGGGTTTTTTCAATTGATGGCATGGCTGCTTCCTGAATTGGACTTTTTGTGAATTTGGGTTTGAGAAAGTCTGCGAGGAAGGCTGTTGACCTGATCAGTGACTTTTTTCAATGATCGGACGGGTCTTACATCTGTGTAGGTTTTGCTTTCAGTGTTTCTTTGCAGAACTGGAAGTATACGTGGGATTTAACTCGTATTCTATCTGTGAAATGTTTAGGGTTCTCTGTGTCATGTGCTGTATGGTTAGACTTTTTGTATCTTGGAGCTCATTAGCTATTAAAGTCGTGATCTTTCAGGAAATTGGTTGTGTTTTATAGTTTTTTTTTTGTCATGGTCCGTTTTGAGACTGTATTGTTTAGCTCCGCTACTGTTCATGGAGGAGTGGTTCAGCACAGGACAAGGCTAACATTATTTTGGATATTGGTTTTGTAGGATGTTTTACTTCTTCTTCGAGTCCCGCAACAGTAAGAAGGACCCTGTTGTCATCTGGTTGACTGGGGGACCGGGCTGCAGCAGCGAGCTGGCTATATTTTATGAAAATGGCCCTTTCAGCATTGCAAATAACATGTCTCTTGTGTGGAACAACTTTGGCTGGGACCAGGTGATCTTCTTCATCTGTCTTCTTCATCTTCAGCTGTCTTCATTCCTGTTTCTTCTAGCACGACTGGGCGCTACTCTAAGAAACTACTTTCGCTTAGAGACCTAACTCTAAGCTCCTGGAGAAAGTCCTTTCTTCTTGGAACAGTATCAATCCTGGAAGCAAATTTGTTTTCTTTATGCTTTGGGATCTTATGGCGGAAAAAGATGCACTCTTGTTTGAACATATAACTGGTCTTGGTTATGTTGGTTTACATGGACAACTGTTTTGCTGCCATTAGCTAAGTTAGCTGTTCCAGCAGTAAATCAAAATTACCCACGGGAAAGGGGTGATGGAACGCTACTGCTGTTACATTTTGCTACTTCTGTTGTGCAGGCTTACCCATGTATTAAGCAGTTGAATAACTTATTATTGTCCATTTCGCAGGCATCAAATCTTATATATGTTGATCAGCCGACTGGGACTGGATTCAGCTATAGCACCGATCGACGTGACATTCGCCATGATGAAGCCGGAGTTAGTGATGACCTATACGACTTCTTGCAGGTTAGTTCAATTTTTATGAACTCAGATGTAGCATCTTCTTTACCATAAAAACAAATTCAAATACCAATCGCATGAGCTAAAATTTATATCCTGAAAGTATGAGCAGCATTAATTGAATTTCCTAGTTCATTATTTATTTATATTATTTGCATTGTTAGGTCAGATATGTAATTACTCAGCTTAACTCACTTTGGGCGCTTCTGTCTTCTTAGGCCTTTTTCACAGAGCATCCTGAACTTGCAGAGAATGACTTCTACATTACTGGTGAATCATATGCTGGACACTACATTCCTGCTTTCGCTTCTCGAGTTCACAAAGGGAACAAGAATAATGAAGGGATCCACATAAACTTCAAGGTTTGTTGTGGTAGTTTGTCTGAATTTGGAAGTGGTTCCTGGTCTAGTTATCTTCACTAATCTCTTGGAGGGAAAATTGAACAGGGTTTTGCAATCGGCAATGGCCTGACAGATCCTGCATTGCAGTATAAGGCTTACCCTGATTTTGCGCTGAAGAACGGGATTATAACGGAATCACAATTCAATAAAATTACAAAGATTGTCCCAGTGTGTGAACTGGCAATTAAGCTGTGCGGTAAGTAATTTCACATGTTGTTGCTTCTGCTTCAAGATTTTCATTCTTGTTGACATCCATACTGTGTTCATCTGTCCCAATATATGAATCTAGTACCTTGCTTAGTGAAACAGTCAAGTAGCAGGTACTACCATTATTCCAGCACTTGAATTCCACATTACTGATATCTTTTGTCTAGACTTGTTTATAAGTGTACCAAAGTTGTGATCTTGTAATGACTGGTAATTGTTGATATTACAAAGTTAATTATTCTCGCGTATAATCTTTTTGATTAATTCCTATTGTCCTGTCCAATAATACATCTTTTGCTTCAGGAACTGATGGTACGGTGTCTTGTTTGGCCTCCTATTTTGTTTGCAATACCATATTTAATTCAATCATGTCGGTGGCTGGTAATATAAATGTAAGGTTCTTCACTCTCATCTATGTATAAAATGGTATGTTTATGGCCTACTATATATCACTCCTCTCAGTCGCCAGTATATGCATTCAAGAAGTTCTATGTAGAAATTATATTTCAACTCCCACATTATTGAGAGGATCAAATGAGAGACATGAGTAATCAATTGAATTCATCAGGAGACAACTCTTGAGTATGGTGACTAGAAGATGATTGGGAACCTAAATTATATGGTTCTTTCATATTTTTTATAACTAAGATTGATAGTTGTGGTAAAAAAAATTGACTTCTGTTTACACAAACAACTGCTGCTCAAGCGCAAATATAGTTTTTCTTTTTAGTAGCTATGAACTGATTTTAGAGTTTGACCAACTGGCACTTGTGTTATCTCTCGCAGTATTATGACATCAGGAAGGAATGTGTAGGGAGCCTTTGCTATGACTTCTCCAACATGGAAAAATTTCTTAACCTGAATACTGTTAGGGAGTCACTTGGTGTTGGGGATATAGACTTCGTGTCGTGCAGTCCGACTGTGTACCAGGCCATGTTGGTTGACTGGATGAGGAACCTTGAAGTCGGGATTCCCGCTCTTCTTGAGGATGGAATTCACATGCTTATCTATGCTGGAGAATATGATCTCATCTGCAATTGGCTAGGTAAGGGTTATGCAGGTCGAAGGAAACTGAGGTGATCTTGTGTAGCAGATATCTGGGAGTAAGTACTTTAGCTATTTTTCATCTTTTTTGTGAAACAATGTACAGGTAATTCAAGATGGGTTCATGCTATGGAGTGGTCTGGCCAGAAAGAGTTCGTATCATCTCCAGAAATCTCCTTTGAAGTGGACGGTGCAGAGGCTGGAGTGCTGAAAACTCACGGACCCCTGTCCTTCCTTAAGGTACACTTCTCTCTAGATCTTGCACCATCTTTTAAGCTGCCAACTTGTCAAGCCATCACATTTTCTATACATGACTGATCAATGCCATGTTTCTGTGAATTAGGTCCACAATGCTGGGCACATGGTTCCAATGGACCAGCCAAAGGCTGCATTAGAGATGCTGAAGAGGTGGACTCAAGGCAAACTATCTGATGCCACTGCCGATGAATCCAACTCGAGCAAGTTGGTAGCTGAGTTCTGATTTTTGCTTGGTGGGCAAATATTCAGACAACAGGCTGGCTGGCTGGCTTCTGGTTTTCCTAATGTACCTTGTAAATAAGTTTCCTTTTCTGGTAGTTTGCTCTGTAGAAGAAGGTTATATGCGAACTAGTGTGGTTCGAGCCATAAAAGATGTTCGTTCTGATATAGAATGCAAGCATAGTTATGTACCCTTTTGTAGCAACTGATGTACCACACAACTCTTTTATAAGTCTTCTCTGTTTTCTGGACATATCATGCTCTGGTTCGAGTCTTGTGAAGTTACTGCTAAATGCTGTTTCAGTGAAGAAAACAAACAAAACGATGATGTTCATCGACGCATTCCCAGAAACTGGTACATGCCACTAGGCCTTACAATCAATCTGCAAATTGTTCGCCATTGTCCCATATCTGGTTTTGCATTACAAATCGTTTCGGAAAGTTCATCAAGCATATTCAAATGATCAGATCCTTTAAAGAGACCTTCCCTGTGGCAGGACTTGAAGCAGCTGTTTTTGCAGCTCTGGTTCCCAACAGTGCTTATAAACCACCATACGAATTGGTGGAAGGTATCATGGTGCGAAGGCCTAAGCTTTACTGGCCGAAAATGAGATCTGTGTAAGTAGGAACTGTAAATCAAGTAAGCACAGTTGCAGAAAATCAGAATGTAATGCAATCTTCGAAGCAATTCAATTTCAAATGAGCATTCCATCAGCAGTAGCAAATTCCTAAGGAGATTATAATCACTACAAGCAAGGTTGCAAGTTGCAACATAGCTCAAGACTCAATCTTCCTCGCCACTCTCATCGCTAAAGTAACTGGCTTTCTTCACCTTCTTCTTCCCCGAACCCTTTCCCTCTTCATCTGCCAACAACAATCTCTCCTCCGCCCTCCCATCCACCGCCGACGCCCAATTCTCCTCTTCAAACCCCTGCCCATCTCCCCAATTCCCTCCTCCTACTTCCTCATCCTCCGCCACCGCTGCCTCGTCCCTCCTCTCAGCAACACCACCGCCGCGACCGCCGCCGCCTTCTCTCCGCCCCCGCTTCGGCGCCGGCGGCCTCTCCCTCGCCCCGAGCTGATTCTTCGGGCACTCGTACGACAAATGACCGCCTTCCCCACACTCGTAACACTTGCTCTTGTCCTGATACACCCTCTTCTTAATAAACTCCGTCGCCCGGCCGTTGTCGTTGGCAATCGACGCCGATAGGGTCCGGCCGTTGAGGATCTTCTTGTCCATCTGGCGCGCGGCGGAGGCGGCGTCGTCGCGGGATACGAACTGGACGAAGGCGACGCCGCGGGACTGGCGGGTGGCGCGGTCCTTGAGGACGGTGACGCGCGCGATCTTGCCGAAGGTGGAGAAGAGGGTGTGGAGGTCGGAGTTCGTTAAAGCGAAATCGAGGTTGGAGATGTAGACGGTCGACTTCGAGGGGGCCAGTCCGCCCGAGCCGCGGGATTTAGGGTTCCGATTTGCGGCGGCGGCGGCTGTTGAGGTGGAGGAGGTCGATGACGGCGGATCTGGGGCGGAGACGGAGGAGTAACGGTAGTAGAAGGTGTCGTCTTCATCGCTGTCGCTTCCGCCGCGGCGACCCATTGTTGCTGCTTGATCTCCTCTAATTCGGTGGGTAGCTCTATCTCGCCGGACATTTTTGTGTTTCGGGTTAATTGCTTTGCTGGTCATTGCTTTTGTAAGTTTGTTTCGTGCTTATCACTAAAGAATGTTTCAATGACAAAACAGCCACTATTAGTCTGTTTTGTTTACAAAGGTTGTCAAACCGGTTTATGCCAGTGTGCCGGTTTAGCAAGTGGAATGGTTCACCCGGTGGCACATATCGGTTTGTGCCGGTTCATGCCGGTCAATATTACAAATAAAATTATAAATACTTATATTTAAACATGACATTTAACGTCAATATCTAAGCATTTATACTTGAATCCAACAAATAACATCAATATTTTACTTTTATACTCGTAAAATAAATAATAAAATAAATTTTATTAATTAAATTCTCTAAAATAAAGTTATTTTACTTAAAGATTCGTATATCGATCATACCGGTCATACCTGTAGTGTTACGCCAATTTTATGACCGGTACCGGTTGAACCCGGTACAACCGGTGCCACGCCGGCCGGCGTGACAACCATACTTTTCATAAAGTTTGTAATTTTTGTATGAATGACGCGAAACCAGAAGGGCAAAATAGTCCAATCCACTTGAAGGAAAAGTAGTTGAGGATGGCGATAATTTTGTCTCTTTTCTGCCGTGGAAGGGATAATGATTAGTTGATTACCCGAGAGAAAGATAAACGTCGGTATCCCGAGCGAAATTTTGATTCACCCTCGTTCCGCCGCCCACCGTCAACCAGAATGCGCGCGACTCCGATTCCCGGAGTAAGATTTCATACACAATGCTGAGCCTGAGCTAGAAAGAGAAACACCTGGGGGGATTAAAGAATTCAGCTCCCGCAATCAGCTGTCGGAGGATTGTCGGTGACCTTCACCTGGGTAGTTCCTGTAAGTGATAGCTAATTCTCTCATGGTGACTTTCCTTTCCTCTTCGCAAATGTTTTTTTTTTCTCCGTGATTGATTGATTGATTGATTAGTACTGTCAATTCGTTTTGAGACCAGGGTATTGTTCGAAATTCGATTTTGGAATGTGGGGTTTGAGGAAGTCGTGAAATTGTTCAGTGATAGAGAATTAGTGGAATAGATTTGTGTTGGAGATGTAGAAAGATGAGTTCTTTACCTCTTTTGGTTATGCGAGTAGTGTAGCTATCTGTGAAAATCGATTTGAATTGGCTTATCGTTGTATTGTTAGCAGAAAAAGCTAACTGCTTTGATCAACATTTATGGTATTATCGTTGTATTGTTAGCAGAAAAAGCTAACTGCATTGATCAACATTTATGGTATTTTCGAGTGTTTGGTGCCAGAGCGAGCCATACGAGGATTTTGGTTTTGTCATTAGGTCAAGTAAGAAGAGTGGCAGATTTTATCAAACCTAAGTTTTCCTCTGTTGCATTCATCGCTCCTTGTCATCTCTCCGCTTAGGTATTGATTTACGAGAACTGACTTCCTTTCCCTGTTGGAGTGTGTCTTCGAAGAGCTGAAGGGTTTTCTAAGACGATATCTTAAAGAGATTTAACCAGAATCCATGTGTAGCGCATTTCCCTACCTGCCTCCATGACAGAATCTACTATAACTACTTAATATGTGTACCTAGAAAGTTTAGCCCACAGCATATCGCTACCTGCAGCCTTTGTTTGCCCCATATTCTAGAACTAGGTGAGCACATTTAAATTTCAAGTGGAGTGGCGAGGAATAATAGAAAGCACGGTGAAATTGCTGTATCAAATGAAAGAACTGCAATTGCTGATTTCTTAGTTTGTGCATATAGCATTGCCATTGAAGGCATAACAAAGCTCTTCTCACACCAATCTAGTATTCTGACTGTCTTTCTTTGCCTATTCTTACTTGCAAATAGATTTCTATTTGACAGCCCAGGGATGTACTTCTATTTTGGGTGGACAAGATGCATGGATTCTCCACTGTAGATGGATTTGTGGAGATAACTGAATGCATGGCGGAGATGATTAAGTACGTGGCGAATGAACCCTCGGTAGGGCTTTTCTATGTTCAGCAGCATGTCCAAAATGCAGTTCCAAATGTCATTAACATCAGGAAAAACGTGATGGAGAGGTCCCGTGAGACAAGCTTGAACACGGAAGACTTGGAGGATTCCATTACAATGGTGAGGTCAATGAAAGAATGTGGTTTGCCCATTGCAAATGAGATGATCAAAGACATCAGGAAATCTCTCGTGATAATGTCCGAGAAAAAGAAGAAGAGAGGATCAGTTTCGAGGTCATCATCCTCTGGCTTTCTGACGAGACTATCCAGCTCAACAGAACCACCGCCCAGTTGGAGTGATAGTGAGGAAGCTATTGCCCTAACAGATGGCAAGAAGTCAGGTTATTATATCTCCACCATGTTTAAGACAGCAAAGGAGAAGGCCAGCAGTTTAAAGTGGCCTCAGATCGATCTGAAGGAAACCATTCCAAGTTTTAATTATCCATCACAGTTTATAACATCTTCCTCTGCAAGTTCTTCTGTCGTTGTTGCAGAAGCTGAGGATTTGCCATTGTCAAGTAAGGCACCCGAGGACACTGCTGAAGAGCTCCAAACAGAAACAAAACATGAGCAGGCGGGAACAAGCTTCCCGCATTCGCTTGCCATTTCAGTTCCAGAAGATTATGATGTCTATAAGGCAGATAAATTAGCCAAACTAGAGGAATGGCTTGTAGAAAGTGGTGGTAAGCGAGATAGATTGCCACCCAGCAATTGACATTGAAAAGAAAAACCTTTTCTTCTTTTGGTGGGCAGTATGAGATTCATTTGCTTGTATAATCTGCTGGATCTTGTTGTTTTGTAGTATATTGATATATAGTTTATGATGATATCCAGTAGGTTCATTTGAAATAAAACTCGTGGCTTCCCCATCTCCTGGTGGCTTCTATTATCCGTAGCTTGAGTGAGCTGCCAGCCACAGGCGATAGCAGCGAATTATGCAAACGTGCCTAGTACTTGCTGTGGAAAGTTGTGAATTGAATGTTGTCAAACAAATTCTTTCGCTCATGCTTTCCCAAGCTTTCTGGACCCTTGAGGAATTTGTTCGTCGAGTCGAAGATGGTGGGATTCGTAGCTCGTGTCTTCTTTTACAGGGGGTATCATAAATTCATAATGGGAGAAGTACTGCAGGATACCACCAAGTTCAGTCGAGTTGAAGTACGGCAAACGGTGGTGGTAACAGGGGCTTTCGGAGGTTGATTGTTGATCAGATGCTTTGGGAAGAAAGGAAGAAGAGATACAGAAGTCGAAGAAATACGGGAAAGTATTAGGAGTATAGCTAGATCAACCCATCCCATTAAGCCGATTCAGCTCTGGTCGAACCCAATGCAAACTTTCACTAGCGATTTGAAGGGAATCTGAAATGGAATGACACATTTGATAACTCTTTGTGAAGTTTAAGGATCGATAAAGGTGACAAAGTTGGCAAATAGGATTTGGAAGTTGCCTCAAGTGTAACAGTGCTGGGTAGAAATGTATGTCCAAGCTGAACCAGACCATTCGAATGTCTGGGAAGTGGCCAGACTGCATTCACTAAGATTACTAGTGCAAATTGTTTGTCAAGAAGAAAAAAAGTTTAGTGTAGAGTGCATAGAGCAGCACACGAAAATATGTAAACTCCCTGTTATTAGTCAAAGCAATGCCATTGAGTGCTGCATAAAGCAGTTTCCACATTGATCTTGTCTAGCTGAAAAAGGGCTAGGAGAAACAATTTATTGGAACTACTCCATCGAGTAATATACAACTATAGCAGTAGCCAATTCAAACAAGCTTGACACCAGCTCCCCGCACAGAATCAACGACAGCTTTGACCTTTCCATGATACTTCTGTTCCCTCTTTAGCAAAACAGAAACAGCAGGTATGCCCTTCTGTAGTAGGCGCTCGCCAAGTAGCTTCCCAATCTTGCCAGCAGCTGCTACATCTCCAGTATTCTCCATGGCCGACCTAAGGGCCTTCTCTTGCGAGCTCGCTGAAGATGCTACTGTTGCAGTTGGTGAGTGCCTCACTGTAGCCGTCACAAACTTGTTGCTGAAATGCATCATTAGCACGTAGGGCTTGAGATACTCTGTGATTCTAGGTGGCCTAACTGGAGGTCGAATAACCATCTTGATCTGGCAAAATCAGCACCCACGGTAAATCCCCACAACATTTGAGCAATGAAAGAGAGACTTTCACAGAAGAGCATGCACGGGTTACGTTGTTCTGAGTGAAAGAAAGGTCAGGAGCAATTAAAGAAAGAATCCAGTATCTTAAAACTCACTCACTCTACAGCATGGAAAAGAAAGAAGCAAAGATTTAGCCGGAAAACTTGTTTATGATCCACCATTAAATGAAAACTTGAAAATGTAAATCTGGTCGTTCTAACTTCTAATGGTTGACCTTGACCTTCTGCAACCATCAACTAAATAGAAATTGTTCAACTGGTACAGGACCATAGACCTTTTAGGATCAATCTTCAGTCGTCAATATTTCCAAATGCCAACACTTCTATGGTTACCACTGGTGCACATAAATCAAGTACTTTCGAGACATTTAAGCATATAAAATCATTCAATATCACTTCGTGTCCGGATCCATTGATCACTGCTTTTTAAAGTCAGTACCCAAGATTCCAAGATGCAGTTCCAATATGTTGATCATATTATGCGTTCATTTGTCGTCGAACATAAAGCCCACTTCTTATAGGGCTTTGCATACATAACTTATCCTGCCTGTGCATGAGCGCATCCCTATGGCTCACCTAGGTGTTTCCTAATTGCCCAACTAAAGCCAGCAAACAATATACTTAGTACTTGGTACGAGCTTAGACAAATTCCGATTTCTGTTTTCGATCAAGTCGAGAGGAACTTGCTGATCAATGATCATACTAACAGGTCTGCAGTTCAGGAATTTCAATTGTAGAAGTGATCTGAATTCCAACAGGCACAAATGCTGAGCACAAAGTTTAGAACCCCAGCAAAGCAAATCTCAAATGCTCTGTATTCCCAGTAGTTTGCTTCTACTTTCTTGAACCCACACATTCGTCGAAATTCTAATGCCCTTGCTTTCAACCACAACTCCACAATCACTACTTATCACACTATGAATCACTGAGACTACTGTCAGCCATGGGAATCACTGACAAAAAGCTAAAAATTGGTCCACAGTGGGATTAAAACCAGATAGAAACCACCACCAACCTGATAATCCGAGAAAAAGAATCACCTGGAGATTTTGAGGGGGGGAAAGATCGAGCCTTGTTATTTTCCGAGCTGGGCCTTGACCAATAGTCGAGTACAGAAAGCTCCTGTTGAAGAAGAGAAGGGCTGTGAGATAGAGAAACATAGAGGAGAAACCAGAGAAAGGAAGGGAAAAGGAAGCAAAAGCGGAGAAATGCAGAGAAGAGACGACCTTGCGAGTCGAGTAACAATGACACGCTGCCGGAGAGATCAGGGTGGACAGGAGAAACGACGGCGAGCTGCAGGGAAGGGTTCTTGAAAAATGAAAATAAAAGGTAGAGTTAGTGGCCAATTACTCGCTTCCACCCTAACTATAACATTTTTACTATTCAAGTCCCTAAACAAACATTTTTTCTATAACGTCAACGACGTGCATTCAATACGACGTCAATTTGTTTAGATTTAGAGATCAGCGTTAGCGATTTTCCCTAATAAATCATATTCATTAGTTTGCTTTTAATTTGGTATAATCTCTATTAAAAATGAATATACCTCTCAATAAATTTAAGCCAAAGTCCCACAACCACACATAGTGAGTACAATATTCCTATACAAATCTATATCACTCTCTCATTTCCACCAATGACCGAATGCTTCTCAGTTAGACAATTGCTTTGTACAAATTCCCACAACGACACATAGTGAGTACAATATTCCTATACAAATGTATATTTTGGACCATCAAGTCACATGTTACATCTAAGATTACTCCTAATAACATAGGCTTAACGACTTGAGTCGAGCCCGTTCCCAATAGCCTGGCATACTCTTATCCAGTTTTCCATATCAAACCCCTGGGAGGTCATGCTCTGTTCCTTAAAATACCTCAAACAATGGAAATGACTTCAACTAATTTCACTCTATCAATGTACATATAGAACTCGATAATACAAACGAGAAAACACCACCAAGTTATTCGTGTTACGTTGTTGTTTCGCTATATCCACTCGTAAGTACTGCTTTAAGTATAGCTCGGCCTTGTCAAGAGATAGCACCGGATTTCAGAAGATGGTGGAGACTTCAAACCAAACATTTCACGCTCTGTTCAGGAACTGAAAATGGTAATAGAGGGGAAGATCATTAACTAACCAATAAAACAAACTTGATCCTCACACGTTTTGCATGCAAGGAAGACAAGTCAGGTGGGGGAGAAGCCTCTCTATTATACTTCAAGGGCCAGAGCTATTACTACACCAGTAATGAAGCAGAGCAAAGGCATTACTATCACAAATCGAACCAAGGAGAAACCAGCCAATTGCGAATTCTGAATCCATGGATACGATTCTCAAGCATTATCTACCACAATCAACAGCTGCAACTGCAGGTTCATGCATTAGGAAAAACAAATAACACAAACAAATTCAAATAAACTTCATAATCAACGATTTCAAGGGAATCCTACAATAAGTTTGTTCCCCTTGGTTCGCTGTGTCCGTGATAGAGACCCGTGCGAGTAGGGGGGTCGGGTTGGGTTGGCCGACTGGGCCGGGTTGTCGGGTTGAGTTTTGTTATTCTGTGTTAGTTTCTGAAACTGATAAATAGGGTTCTGCACATTCATTTAAAGTTAAGCAATAATAATATCAAAATCCCTAAATCTCTCTTCTCTCTGTTCTTCCCCAATTCTATTTCCAATCCCTAATTCTTTCTCAATCCCTAATTCTACTTCTCAACCCCTAAATCCTACTCTTCTCTATCAGTCCGGGTACACTAACTATTATGTATCATGAAGTGAGAACTAGAATTACCTGTAACTCAAAATGGATGTTTGGCTGGCAGCCACCTGAAGGTGACGAAAAATGGGTCATCGATTGTATATTCCCCACGTTCTTTACTGCTTCACTACTATAGATACTTCCAATCCTTCATTTCAAAGTCGCCAAGGCTAGGTACTTCCAATGTAAATCCCGAAATGGATCACCCAAAATGGAAACAGCTGTATAATTGTGCAACCCCAGCACTTGCAAAGATGTGAACTTGTGGAGGCCAATGATTTCAGTCAACTGGCTGCATCCTCTAATATCCAAGTGCTTCAGATTCTTTAGACCTGATAAATCCGAAAAGTTACTGATTGACTTGCAGTTTGACATAGCTAGCAGTTCCAATGATTCCCAACTTTCGACTCCCATGACCTCCGTCAACTGCGTGCATTCCCTAACATCCAAATACCTGAGATACTCGAGGCAAGACAGATCAGGCAACTTGTTAATTGACTTGCAGTTTGACATTGCTAGAGCTTGTAACGTTTCCAAACTCTCAAGTCCCCTGATCTCTGTCAATTGTTTGCATCCACTGATATTTAACACCTTCAGATTCTTGAGATCTGATAGATTAGGCAACCTCACAATTGATGCACAATCAGTCAAGTTGAGCCGTCGCAAAGACTCCAGTCTTCTGAGCCCCATCACGTCTGTCAATTCTGTGCATTCCCTAATATCCAAATCTATCAGATTCGGGAGACCACACAAATTTGGCAACCTGATAATAGATCTGCACCCAGAAATGTAGAGTTTTTTCAATGAATTCAAACCCTCAAGCCCACACTCCTCCGTGAACGTCCATGACATGCATTCAACAATACTCAGCGACCACAAATTTTTAAGATTAAACATATTTGGCGGCAGCTTCTCGATTGACATGCAGCCTTCCATATCTAGACATTCTAATGATTCCAACCGGTCAAGCTCTTCAAGCTTGGCCAGCTGTGCGCCATCTCGAATTGTTAGTTTCTTCAAATTCTTGAGGGCAGATAGATTTGACAGCTTCTGAAAGGAGGTGCAAGACGAAATATCTAGCTCTTCTAATGACTGCAGTGCTTCAAACCCTGTAATCTCAATCAATTGCTGGCATCTAGAAATCTTTATTACTTGTAGATTACTAAGACGAGCAAGATGCAAAGTTCGTATTCGTGGTACAGAAAGACGAGTCTCGTTTCTTTGTAAAGCACCATGAGAGGTTTCCTCAACAGTTAACTTCTTCAGGTTGCCTAATGAAGGAAGACCAAGTAGCGTTTCTAGTGACAGAAAGTTAGTTAGTTCCAAAGTGGTCAGTGCTTCCAGAGATTGAAGAAGGCCTTCAACAATAGCTAATCTGGGACACCTGCTTATTTCCAGATGAGTTAAAGAACACTCTCCCAAGGCATCCAGTGACTGGCTCCCTTGGATTTCAAAAAGGTCCTTGCACCTACGAATTTTTAATGTGTGTAACTTGACCAAACTGGAAAGACTGGGCAGTTTTTCAACTGCATCACAGCGGTCCAGCGTAAGCCGTTGTAGAAGCACTAAATTTTCAAGACCATCAAGGTTCTCCAGGTGTGGGGCTCGAGATATTTCTAATGTTTCCAACATTCTCAGCTCTCCCAGGCCACTTATCTCGTGTACTACAACCAGTACCAGTCGTAGTTCGGTCAAGTTACTCAGATTTGCGAGATTCGGCAGTCTCTCCAATTTCTGACAACTCCTCACAACAAGGCTGTTTAGAGACGATGGGAGTTGGGCAGCTGAGACTCCCATCCCATTGCTACTCGATGTAGCAGCTGACACCACCTCCAGTAGCAGAGTTTCCAACGCACCACAAGAGTCCACATTCAACTTCTTCAACTTGGGTAGTTGAAGCCCTATATCTCCAGGAATTTGAGGCCCATTATAACAGTTCTGAAAGCATAGCACCTCCAAGTCCTTGAGCTCCAAAAGATTCGGAACCCTGGGGGATGAGAGGGTCAGTTGCTTTAAACTTGTGGGGAGTGCAGGTACTTCCACCAGACATGAGACCAAGTGCAGGATTTCTAGAGAGCCTAACTTACCTATACCAGTAGGCAATTTTGTCAACTTGGATCTTGAAGCATCAATCTCCTTTAGATCTTGAAGCATCTGAATGTCACCTTTCAATTCTGTTATCTTACTACCCGAAAGCCTCAGCAGTTTTAATTTCTTGAAATTGCTGATGTGCAGCTCTCCTCCCACATCACAGCAGGCATCAAGATTTATCACCTCTAGACTGCCAGAGGAGGACAAGTCGGGAGCTTTCACCAAGTCATTACACCACCTTAAATTTACGACTTTCAGCTTCTTACTCTCCTGTACCACGACAGTAATCTCTTTTTAGCACAGGCCAGTAAGATGACATTCTTTTTAAATACAAACAAGAAATTTATATTTTATATAAAAAAGGATAGAATGTTTATTGATGACCACCTTAATTCTTTTCCAGCCTCTCCAATAATCCCATACATTGGAATGTTCCAAGCTAAGAATTACCAGTTTCTTCAGGTTAACGTCAGTGGGTATTGAATGACAGGAACCCAACTGAAGCCACTGTATATTTGGAAGCATCTTACTGAAATCTCCAGTCAGTCCCCCACCCCACACATCAAGAAACCTTATCCCTGATAATTTATTAAAGTCTTTTTCTGTCAACTCCAGATTACCTCGATCTTCCATGTTGATTCTAAGAACTTGCACAGCGGCACTTCCCTACAATATGAGATCACAGAAACTCGTAATTCTTAATTTCGTAAACACTTAAAATGTGCATCACCAACATTTAAAGAAATATTTACATAAACATAAGATCTAAACAACTAATATCGAGTCAACCTTTTCATGCCCGCAATATATCATTTTACATACTATTAAAATATACATCATTCTCTTGCATGCTTAAACATTACAATACATTTGGGGTTATACAAGATGTGTTCAATGATTCAGTTGCACACCATATACATAGAAACGCACACAAACACTATATGAACAAATTAAAAGACTATATTCAAGTATCATCACAATTATTTATTTAAAATACCAACTGTCCTTTCACCAAATCAACTAGTTAACAAGTACATATGCTTACTACTGAAGCCCAACTTTCAAAGCACGAGTAGCTAGACAGCTTATACTTACTGCAAGAAAATTACAAAATGAGAAGTAAGCCAGAGAAAATATAAACCAAAACGCAAACAGAACAATACCTTCCCGTTTTCTAACATATCCAAAGCATCCTCATTGGACCATATCCTACTGCGTTTCCATGGCTGTCGAATATTTTCTTCATAAATAATAGCTCGACCAAGGTCTCTGACGTGGTCATGCATCCAGAACTCACTTCTCTCGTTAATTTTTATTAACGACTTAAGAATAAGATTGCTAATCCCACTTTCTGGATAAAACTTACACTCATTCCACATATAAAAAGGACACTCTTTTGTTTCCCCAATGAAAAAACAAGCAATGTCTAAAAAAATTTCTTTTTCCGTGGGAGTTAAATCATTGTAACTTATTTTTAGTATCTCATGCACCCCAGTGAAAGGGCTTTCTTTTAGTTCCTCCAGCTTTTCTTCCCAAATTCTTATATCTTTACGAAACAAAAGGGATCCTATGACCTTTAGAGCTAAAGGGAGTCCTGCAGCAAGTTTCACAAATTCCTCACAAAGAGTGTCACTTCCTTCTTGAGGATCATCCATTTGCAAGGCATGTTTTCTAAGAAGCTGACAAGAATCAATGTCACTCATTTCTTTGGCTTCGAACAACCTACATTCCTCAAAGAACTCTAAAACCCTTTTGTCTCTTGTAGTCAGTATAAATCGACTTTCTATGGAAAAATCTTGCAACTTCCCAAAGACTTTGTCAAACTCAAACCTCCGATCTACATCATCGAGAACAATAAGAACCTTGTACTTGCAAACCTTATCTTTGATTAGGTGAACCCCCTCACTGGCATCTTTAACATGGCTGCCATGCCTCAGAATGTTAGAAATTACCTTATTTTGCAAAGTAACAACACCATCAGCCTTCAACAATGTTTCTCGTATATCTTCCAGAAAGCAACAACGATCAAACCATGAAGAGACCTCGTTGTAGACAGCTTTACTTAAGGTCGTCTTGCCAATACCACCAATACCATGAATTCCCACAATTTTCAGACCTTTGGAGTCTAAGTCCAATAAATCCAACACTTCTTTCACGTGTGAATCGATACCAATCAACTCATCGGTCACTATTGTGTAATTTGCCATCAGATGTGACCACACTTCGGAGAAAACCTTCTCTATCACGTCTCCTTGTCTGAAATTGAACATATTACAAATGGGGTTCAAATAGCAGGGACTAGAGAATCATACTAGGAAACGATAAAATAGCATAATGTGTCAGAATATAGGAGAAGCAGAGCAGTAATTTCTTAGTTTATTCTATGGATGATACTTGCCTTGCCTATATATAGACAAGGGTATGGATCACAAAATTCTTTCTGATGGCAGAAACGTGGGAGAGCCCATGTCTCAACCAACCTTTAGTCAATCGGATTCCAATCGAGTCACCATTAAAAAACTCTTGCGGTTTCATGAAGAACATCAAAACTGGATTCTGATCTTCCAAAATAAGAATCGAGCAGTATAAGAAAACCTTACCCGTCGGATTCGGTGACATGCCATCCTTTCATTTGACCAACCACTTGGAGAGCTTCCTTCCATTCCGTTATGGTGTCTGCATCAAATTCCTGACTGTGTCGTCCAAATGCTTCACTGTAAGAGCCCTCTTGGCGCCGTACATCTCTAGGCTCCACAAAGTAGAAAATGGGCAACAAGATGTGGCCTTCGTTTTGATTCAAGGACTTGACCATGAGAGAGAGCTCTTCCAGACACCATTTACTGGAAGCGTAGTCTTGTGAAAGGATTGGAATGTAAACTTTGGATTCATGAATAGCCTCGACGAGGGAAGGAGCAATCTTCTCCCCCTTCCGGAGCTCTTCATCATCAAGGAATGTGCGAATCTTTGAATGATCCAGGAACTTGTACAGACAATCTGCAAAAGTTCTTCGCACGTCTGGACCTCTGAAGCTCAGGAAAACCTCGTACTTCCCAGTTGGAAGAGGCAGCAGCGATGGCCGCTTAGGGGAAGGGACGCAATCAGATGAAGACAGGTTCCGCTTCATTTGGATCTCCGGAAACAAACGATTGAAGCAAGTTGCAAAGATCTTGACCAGGTGGGTATAGTCACCCAATTCGCCTATCTCCCCTTGGACGCTCCCGCCCTAACCCGCGAAAACGGGTTTCTGTTGTTCTCGACAGAGCGCGAAAATTGGACTTCCTTCATCCCCTAATCCGCACTCACCGTCATTCGTCTGTTACGTAGCTTTTGAATCGTGTAGTAAGAAAGCCACCAAGATTTGAGACAGTTGCAGACTTGCAGAAGATGGCGGCAAAAGGCCGCGGTCGTGTTTTGAAAATCTGAACGAGTGGCCTCGGATGGTTCACTGCGGCTGAGTAGAACTTGGGCTCTTTACAGGGACAGTAAAGTGATCTCTAAATTTCATGGGGGGAAGAAGAGATCCAGAGAGAGGATGATCAAACGAGAGAACGTGATGATGTCTGGGAAAATTGACGAAAGGTACAGAGGATGAAAGGGACGAAGAGTTGGGGTCTCAGAAGGGTGGACTTTTTTTTTTAGAAGAGAAGGGTGGACTTTTATGTTTCTCTATTATTCTAAGGAGAGCATAATTGAAGATAATTTTATCACTAACTTGCTTGTTTTGAGTTTAATACTTGATCTTTGGTGGTTGATTTTTATGACGATTCGTCTCTTATGAAGAAAAAAAAGTCTCTTATTCATTGTTCGTCTACTGGTTGACTATCGCGCACGTGATTGTTGCACTTTTTCCGACTTTTGATTTTGAACCTTCTTGGATGTCTATGATCAAAATGAGACTTTTTTTTTTGTATTAATTTCAGTAATATTTTTGCAGAAACTATTATTTTTGTCATTGACCCTAAAAATATACTCATATTTATGTCAGTAATAATATCAATCATCGCAAGTACAAGTATGAAGAAATATGTGTATCATAATGTGAGCTACAATACTAAGTAGGCAACACTTACAACTAGCTATTGAAACACAAACTAGTTTGGTTGCTATGTCTTCAGAAGTTGTATCCCTACGTTCAAGTGTTGCATCGCCACATGAGAATGTGAATCGCAACCAGTAAACCTTCAACACCAGCAGATGTTGCAAGTTGCAACTCATCATTGAGCTAAGAACTCGTCTGACCAATCGTTGGACCTCATCAATGTCGAATCCTCGGTGGAGGTCCGCCCAAATCATCATAATGTCTCTCTCTGCATCCACAATGAGCATCGATAGAGACTCAACTGGTACATAATCAGTTACAGTCTCCTCCATAGTTGGACTTCACCAGGAGTTACTTCTGGAGCAGCTCCAAGGAATTTCCATTTCCAACCATATATCCCACTACCACTGTATTCCACAACTTCCTTCAATTGTTCGAGTCCAGTGAAGATCCTGATATCTGCTAGTTGACAGATTCAAGAGGCGCTAGGATCTGTTGCAGTATTGCTCTCCGGTGACAGATCCACGGACTGGACCTGCTCGATTGTCAAAATAAGTCCCAGTAAAGTAATAATCCACGTCTCGAAATGTGATGACTGATTTATAGTGTAATCAATGATCAGAACATGTCCACAGAGAGGGAAAGAGGGTACAGAAAGCACCATCACCCATTAGAGATTCTCAATCAGTATTAGCAAGTACCAGACAGAGATCTGTAAGACAAATGTTGGTAGCAGTATAGGATTTCTTACCTCAGCTGTAAGGTGCCTTCAACATGCCACTTGGTCTTGTCCCATGCAATTCAGGTGTTACTATTATCCTCTGTGATACCACATGAAACAGAGATTAGCATGGAAAGACACTAACAAGATGTGAATTTCACAATGTGCAGGACGAAAAAATATGGCTATGCAAGCTGGAAGTATTGTTTGTGTACACACCTATACCGATTTCACAAGGAGCATGATTCGTTGCCTTCATTCCTTCAGAAACTTTTACTCTTACCATGTTGGAATTGAAGGGGCGTGCCAACTTACTGTTGCTCACTATTTTCGCCCTCCTGCGAGATTTTAGGCAAAATACCAAGCAACACTTATAGTGAAGAAGTTTTATAAGTTACCAGAAACAGCATCACCGGAAATTTCAAATCCATACCTGACCAATTTTCGCTTTAAAGTACCCGTTTTCAGCTTGGAAGTTCCTCCTAGAAACATAAAATGGCATCCTAAGTTCTAACAGAACGAGAAAGTTGGCATATCTCAGAGACTGAAAATAGAAAAGCCTCCAAGATGTTCTCACCTGGTTTTAGAGTTAAACAAGTAGAAGCTGCCTTGCGACTGCCCCTCTCGGCTTTGATGGAAGAAATGAGAGAATCAGCTGTAGGCCCCAAACCTTTTCTTCCAATTAGCTTTACCCCAAGTTTCTCATCCAGGTAACTCAACCGCACATCATCACCTCCTCTGACCTCTCTCAGCTCAAGTGCCTGTTGTTTTGATAATAAGGTGTACACATGAAGCTCTTGTTGCTGGTTAAAGTGTGACTGCAGCTGCTTAAAGAGTAACTTATTGGAATGCTGTAGATCCGGCCTAGCACCTTCACGACTCCTCTTCTGAGGGTCACTTAATGCAACCCTCAAAATTGCTGCTGACTTGGGATCCGAATCATTTCGAGCAAATATAACAGCAAAACTACCAAATTCTAGATCAGGCTCCCTAAATAAATCTGCTAGAAGTGAAGCACAGGCATGAGAGTTCTTAAAGGGGGTACGATTAAGCTTAATCCTTGAGGATCTAGCACTAGCAAAGTTCGCAATATTAGCAGCTTCCCGCAAGCCAGTAAGAAAAGCTCCATGCATAGTCGCAGGGTACCGCCTAGTAGTGGCTTCCCCAGCAAAGAAAAGTCTTCCGTCTCCCACACTTTCTGCCAATATATCATAATCATCTCCGGATGCTCCAACAGCCACATTGGAATAAGACCCCAGAGATAAGGAATCACTACCCCATCTTGTACATACAGTTTGTATAGGCTCTGGGACATTGATTCCTCGTGGTTCATAAATACCTGTATGCATCCATAGCAACACCTCTTAAATACATCATGGTCCATATACGACATTTCGAACTAAGATTCTCTTTCTCTAGAAACTCATGGTAGTGGAAATATTCTCAAAAGTGAATATGGTGAAATGTCCAGACTAAATATTACTTTCATTGGCAGAAGAAAGACGCCAACAGCAGCAATGAATCAGCTAGAAGTCTGAATACATTACCTTTTAGAATCTGAAGAACACGAGACACAGCATCCACTGGAGGCATACTCTCGAACTTTAGGGCAGCTTCTCCTGCTACTAGTGCAAGCAAGAGTGGTCCGCCAGAAACAGTGGCATAGCTGTAGAACAAGAAGAACTCTCCTCGTCTGCTTGAATGATCAGTCAAATGCCCAAATGTATCAAGATCATTTTCCCAAAACACATAAGGGAAAAGCATTGCAACCTTGTTCAACAATCCGTACCCCAACCTCTTTATTCCATCAAGCTTCCTCTGTGGCAATTCTGGAACAAACTTTACCGACCCACTCTTCAGAACCCCAAGAGGTATTGTACACAATACCATATCACCCGCAAAAGTCCGACTCCCAGCAACAACCTGCACACCATCACTACCATACCTGATGGTGTGCACAGTCTTTTCATACAAGATAGGAACATTCTCGGCCAAAGCGTGGACCAACCTTCCATTCCCCCCAGGGACAAAACAGTGATCCCCTCCCATATCATATGGATCATCCTGATCCCAAAATGCTAAGGAAAGTTTTGACAATAAACCGGCATTGGCATATTCCAGATTAGCACAGTGCCAATTGAACAAGCCCATCTCCTCCTCATTCACAGCATCTCCATATACCTGCCTAAAGGTCTCTAAGGCTGCTCCTAGCGATACATCAACAGAGACATCCCCCATCAACTGCCTCAGCCTGCTTGCCTGATCCAACAATCGATTAAATGCTGCCTCAACCTTCATGTCTGTATCTAGATCAACTGGCTTCCCATCAGGTGCATAAAGAGGACACTTATCAGTCACCTTGTGTAAGCTATGCCCCAACTGTCTTGCTAGAATTCCTAAAGGATTACCCAAAGTTCCAGTCAACACACTTCCTCCTAAATCTGCTGAAGCACTAACTCTATTCGCTCCACCCCCTTCCAATTCCATTTTCTTAGTGTAAACTCTCCCACCGGGCCGTTTCCTTCCTTCCAAAACTGTGACCGTAAATCCTAACCTCATTAACTGCCTTGCTGCAGCCAGCCCAGCCAACCCAGCACCAATGATGATCACCCTTGCCTTACCAAACTCTGAGGGAAATTTCTCTTTAATGGCTTGCGAGACGCCGAAATTAATGTACCCACGGGAAACCAAGTAATCATAAGCAGAATCCAAGAGTCCATGACAATGCGCTGGCACAGAATTCAGGAACATCTCTTTCGTAATCCAGGCATTTATATTTTCTCGCCACTTTGCAATGATATGGTTTCTAATAAGCGTGTAATTTACCTGCTCAATCCCACCTACCACCGGAAGCACGCCAGCTTCAATTTCCTCCTCCGTCAAAGAATCGGCGGGGAACCCAGCAGAGAGTGCAGTTAACGCCTCCGCTGTGGCTTCTCTGTTTATAACGATGATCTCCTCAGCAACGTCGGGAACCGGCGGCCTTGGAGGGTTTAACGAGCTGGAATTCGGATTAGGGCCAGTAATGCTCTCCCCGCTGCGCGGTAAAAAGGGAACCTGTGGAATTCGAAAGGAAGTAGGAACACCGGACGCAGAACGAGTGGGCCGGCCACGGCGGCGTTTCTTGGGTATGGAGAAGGAGAGGAATTGGTTGGGGTTAGGAGATGCATCGGAGTCGACGCTTGAAGTTGGGTTTGGGGATGGAGTTGGAATGGGATTGGAGCAAAGGCTAGGAAGAGGAGGGAAATCGACGAACTCTAGCGGTAGGGAGGAAAATTCATCCGTCGTTGGTGGCGCCGAATTCATCTTCCCGTTACTTTCCCTCCGGTGGTCGCAGGCCCAGAGACGGTGGCCGAGCTATGAGTGGCGACGCACGCAGGCGGTGGCGGAGACTAGTCCTTTCCTCTTCGCTGCTACGTAATTGACCGAGCTTGTTTTGTTTTGCTAATTCAGCCCCTGAACTTTCTTCATTGTCAAAACGACCTCTAGAGCTAGAGACTTTTTCCAAATTAATCCAAAGAAAAAACGACCGAAAGAAAAATGATAATACTGTAAAAATAAAAATAGAAATAGGAGAAAAGAAAATTCAAAGCAGCAATCCAGGTCAGGCCGAGAGGTGGATCGCGCTCCACATTCAGCTCTCTCTCTCTCTCTGTCTGTCTCGGTTTCTCGCCATTGTCGTCTTCTAACCTTCTTCTTCTTCCTCTTCCTCTTCGTCTCCTTCTCCTTGCTTGTTTCCGGCGAGATTGCTTCACTATCTCCAGTGCAGGGGCGACGTGACGGCCGCCACTTGTAATCGTCGAATAGGTGAGTTGCCTGGAATACTGTAATCTTTCATCTCTCCTCACTAGTGAATTCGCGATTCGTTAGCGTTTTCTCATTGCGTTGAAGTTCGGTGGAGGACGGCCGGCTCCTTGTTTTGCCGCCGCTGTCTTTCTCAGTTCCCATGTTGATCTGAATTGGCAGCCGTTTTAGAATTTTCCAATTATGCTGCTGGTTGCAGCAATCCCGATACCATCATAACTATCTGGCTGTTTCCGGCGTAGCAATTGTGGCTATCGCTTGGTATCTATTAGGCCGTTCGATCTCTCTTGGATGAGAATTAGATGGTGCCTGGTCATTGCGTACTGGATCTGAGAAGTCTTGGCGGTGAGGGCCAATGGAAAGCAAGACTTCGTTACTGTGTTCCCTTCTAGTTTTCAGTTTTTGAGAGAACGAAGCTGGTTCTTCAATCTTGGTGCTGTGAAGTATTGCAGTTCTAGTAGTTACTCCCTCACAGTTTGCTGTTGAAATGTTTTCTCTGCGCATACGCTCTTCCTAGGCAGTATGTGGCTTAGTATATACTTGTCAGGATGTTCACTCTACTTGAACTAATTCAAGAAGCAGTTTAGACAAAGTAATGACCAGCATATCTGGAACAAACATAACTTTTCAGTTAATTGGTTGAAACAAATTTCTGGCTGTGTAAGATTAATGCCTCCGCAGGATGATGCATATTCTGTGAATAAATGGTTAATGCTTTTAGGGAATGGTGTGTCTACGGGTTTCATTTCTGGGTCTAGTTTGAGATTTGTTACATTGTTAGGCTTTTGGTTTCTTTCTTCCAGGCGGAGCTATTCACTGTCAGAAGAAGAAATCGAACGTGCACATGAGTTGATTACAACCTAGCTGTTGATGCGAAAGGATCAGGATGGGGATTTTTGATGGATTGCCAGTTCCACCTGATAAAGAGGTAAGTCTTCATTTAGCTTTCCCCCCTGGCCCCTTAAGAATAATATAAGTTTTGGGAAATAAACCAAAAAAGTTTCAGACCTTTATTCCTCTGTGTACTAGCAACAAATAATGAATGAATAGAAAAGGGGTTGTACTCAGGTGATACTGGTGAAGTATTTATCGTCTATTTTTTTTAATAATCTCTTGAAATATGATTCTTGTTCCAAAAATATATCTGATGGAGTGGTGGATCTTATTCTATTTCTGGAATCAATCATGAAGTGGGTAACTCACTAACTGCATATTGGAATGTCGTGTAATTGGTATAGATATGCAGTATTGTTACTGTGTTTGCTTTTTTATGGGTCCTTCTTTCTGGAAAAAAAAAAAACAACAACCATGAACTGAGTAGCCAAGACTCTGACATATTCTTGTTCTATCGTTGATGTCATACTAATGCAATTAGTTTTCTTTCTTGCTCTTGCTTCTCACTAAAACTTCCTTTGCTTTGATTTTTTTATGTAGTATCTAAGGGATGAGCTTTTGAAAATCGATGAGAGCTGGGCTACTCCTCGTTTCGACTCCTTACCTCATGTTGTTCATATTCTAACATCAAGAGATCGTGAAAATGAGCTCCACTATTTGAAGGAGCAAAGAGATATAGTTGAAGAGGTTGTGGATGAAGTTGTGCATGCTTATCACGGTGGCTTCAATAAAGCCATCCAAAACTACTCTCAGGTGCATTATTATTCTGTTTCCAGCTCATTAAAGATGCTGCTTGTCTGCCAAGCTTCTCAGGAAATTTTACACCTTGGCTTTTGTATATCCACATGGAAGGTGGAAAGTCTTTTATTGTCTTCGTGTGCTTTAAAAAATAATAAGCTAATGATAAACAGATGCTCGAAGATACTGTCTGCTAGTGCATTTTTTCTTCTCCTCCCTTTGTATCTCTATTTTAGGTTGGATTGGATAAGGGTATTAGGACCCGATGGCTGAAAATTTATACTTAGCAGCCTTTGGCTTCAAAGATGCAGTAGACCATATCTTTTCCTTCCCAGTAGATCATATTTATCGTGTCCGAACAATTGGCGTAAGGCACTACCTGGTTGGAAAACAATCCAAATCAAAATTTCTTACTACGAGATAGTAATTTCTAATAAAGGTCTATTGCAATCTCTGGTCACCTGGATAGGATGTTACACCTGCTTAGTTAGGTCCTGTCATGCAGTATCCAATGGTACTGTATTGCTAACCCTTTGCGGCAGATGGAATTGTTGCCCTTCTGGAACCAACCAAGTCTTCTGATTGATTTATTTGGTTGGGGCTTCAGACGTTGAACTAGGCGATTGTCGTGGTGGTTTATGGTATTAAAAGACTGTTATCCCATGCATAGCCATGATGTACATATTCCCCAAATTCATCATAAGAAAAACATATTCCCCAAACTCATCATAAAAAAAAAACATATTCCCCAAACCAAATAAAATTATCTCACTAGTCATTTTGCTTGAAATGTACTCTGAGCAGTCATAGTAATGTGAACTGGTTATTCCTCTCTGTTCAAAGTAATTATGAAACATATTCTTTTGCTTACTGTTTTGTTCTCTCTTCAGATCTTGAAGTTGTTCAGTGATTCTGCTGAAAGTATTCGCACACTGAAAATTGATTTGGCTGAGGCAAAGAAGCGTCTTGGTGCTCGAAACAAGCAATTACATCAGCTATGGTCTCGATCTGTCACACTAAGGCACATCATTGCATTGTTAGATCAAATTGAGAGCATAGCTAAGGTAAACACGAATAGACTGTCAATTGACTAACTTGTTACTTATCTTTAACTTGTCAATTGAGGGATACCCTTGCTTTTCTCTCTTTATTCTTCTGCGCCACTCGCGGATAAAACACTTCCTGATTGTAGGGTGTGATTGGTCAAGCATTGACCTTTTTTGCACCATGATAGGTCCCAGAACGTATTGAGAAACTCATTGCCGAGAAACAGTTTTATGCGGCCATTCAATCACTTATTCAGTCATCCTTGATGCTTGAACGAGAAGGCCTTCAGACGGTAATATTTTACAACTTCTGGAGGCATCTGTCTGAATTGTACTTTGTAGTTTGAGTAAAGAGTTGTGTATTACTTCTCCCATTGTTACCATGTGAAGTGTAGAAGGAGTTGTTGAAGTCCAATTCTTGTTAATGTAAGTGGACTCGTATTCCAAATACAAATGGAAAACTGCTCCTTGGTCTTTGAAACTTATCCTTGAACATTATTCCACTTTTATCGTGTTCACTCAATTTCAGTCTGGTAACTAAAGCCTGTCATTGCCACTCGATTTTAGCATCTAATTCAGGGTACATCACACAACAACCATGTTAAGTGTAGAAGAAGTTATTATAGTCAGATTCTTGTTAATTCAATTGCTTGATGCCTAACTTACTATAAAAATGGAAAGTTGGTCCATTATTTCTGATGCTCACCTAGATTGTTATTCTGCTTTGATGTGTCTGCTCAATTTCAGTCTGATAAGTAATCCTGTCCACAACCATAATATTTGTGACTTCATTTTGGCATCTAAATCTGGGTGTATCATACCATGACAAGCTTTTCTTCTAATGAGAGCCTTGAAATGTTTCGAATGTACCTCAGGTTGGTGCTCTTCAAGATGTAAAATCTGAGTTGTCCAAGTTGAGAGGAGTTATCTTTTTCAGAATTGTGGAGGATTTGCATGCACATCTTTACAATAAGGGAGAACATAGGTATAACCATCTTTTTTCCTCTAGCCATCTAATTTCCTTATTGAGCAGTGGACATGTAAGGTGGAGGTTGTACCGTCTGGCACTTTTATGGTAGCCTTATTCAGAATTGTGGAGGATTTGCATGCACATCTTTACAATAAGGGAGAACATAGGTATAACCATCTTTTTTCCTCTAGCCATCTAATTTCCTTATTGAGCAGTGGACATGTAAGGTGGAGGTTGTACCGTCTGGCACTTTTATGGTAGCCTTTTTTTCTTGCTAGCTAATCTGATAGGGAAGATTTTCATTGCTTGCTAATCTGCAATGTTGGTACTTTTTTGTTTTGATCCAGCTCATGCTGTACTACAGAATATGGTTGTCCTTAGCCTGATGTTTTCCCTGCAGCTCTGTGGCCTCGACCATGGATGAAAGAGAGGATGACCTGCCAACCGTTACTGCTGCTGCATATACAATGAATGGCTCACAATCCTTGTCCCGAAGAACCAAGATGATAAAAGGAGAAAATCTTGGACAGACAAATGGATCACTCAGGTAATGTTTAAGAATATTATGTCGAGCTTTTGATTACGTTAATGTCCGGTGTTTTCTTTTTCCGACTTCTGCATTGTGCTGTAGTTTTTGACTATGTGCGCTTGTGTATTGAATTGGTTTACAAGTTTAAGTTCTGCAATCAGTATCTGCTTAGCAGATCTCTGGATGATGGCTCTTATGTGCTTTCCTCAAACCAGTTAAAATGTATGATGTCGAAATATACATGATATTCAACATTTTGATCCACTTCATTCAAGCATATGAATCTTCTTTTAATTGTTTATTGGCAAGTGGTCTTTTATTCCAGTTTGTGTTACTATAGTTCTTGTTTGCAGAATGTACTTTGACGGGCTTGCATTGTGATAATTACATTTTTTCCTCACATGTAATTTTTTGGGTAAAAATGCCTGCTTCAGTTTGATTGGTGAATTAGACTCTGTATTCAGGATTTAGTACAAACTGCGAATTTCTGACTTTCCTACGCTGAGTTATACTGGCCCTATCAATTTCAATGTGATGGTGCTGTTTTGGTTCATCTAGTTCTCTATACTTACATCTACCATTGTCCTCAGTTCTTCATTTGAGGGACATGATGAGGATGGTTCTGTTGAATTGCATGATGAGGCAACCTCAGATGGACATGCTCGAGGAAATGGTGGTGATGGGATCACAAAGGATGCTAAAACTGGCTTTCACCAAATACCTAGTTGGCTTTCAAATTCCACACCTGATGAATTCATAGTATGAAAAGAGCAACTGAAGTGGTTCATGACTTGTGCTACATTTGTTTACACTTTTCTATTCCGTGGCTGAACATATTGGCGAATTTTCGTGATGAATTAGGAAACCATAAAAAAGAGTGATGCTCCACTTCATGTAAAGTATTTGCAAACTCTGGTTGAGTGTCTCCGCATGCTGGGCAAAGTAGCAGCTTCTGGTGCGATGATATGGTTTGTTAACTGACTATTCACTTACTTGATGCTTTTCCTTGTTAGTTGTTACTTACACTGATGCCCTTCACCATTTGCTATATGAAAAAAGAAAGGAATTCAATTGAGTTTCCTGGCATTTGTCAATTTCTGCTAGCCATTTATATCACACGTCTACTGTTCAATAGGCTTAAAACTGTGCAATTATTAGTTTTGATGTAACTAGACCAGTATCTTATTCATGAAAAAGATAATCGTGATCTTAACTTGAAAGTTTATATGCATGGAGAATGAATTTTTATATTATCAAATGCATGCAAGCAGCACCTAAAAGATTAATCTCGCAGTGTAAAATTTATTGGAGCAAATCTATTGGATCCATGAATGAAGTACTAGGTTTTCTTTTCTGACAGCCAGAGACTGCGCCCCACTATTCACGATATTATCACTTCGAAAGTTAAAGCTTATGCAGAACTTGCCAATGCTTCGAGGTCTGGCATTGGTCAAGCTGCTGAAACTGATGATACCGGCCTTCAGTTTATCAAAGTGCACGTAGAAAGCTACCAGTTGACGAAGAAGAAGCATCAGAATGGGATATCACTGGCTGGGACTCTACTGCAAGTGAGCCCTGTATCTCCTGTTATGGCTCCCACAGGCAAAGCACAGACTGCTGCAAAAGATCTTCTTGACTCGGTATTGGATACTGTCATCAGGATATTTGGTAAGATATTAAATTGCATTGACGTCATGAAAATTTAAAACTTGAATTTAAACTAACATCTTTGTCAATCTAGAAAATCATGTTATTGTTGGAGAGCTTCTGGAGTCAAGATCAGTTCATGGTGTTGATTCACGCCCCCAGAGTTCATGGGCAACTAATGCGAATTTGAACCTTGGTGCCGGTCCTCAAGCTGGGGGATACAGCATGGGCTTTTCTCTGACTGTTTTACAGGTTCATGTAGATCCATCCTTGATATAGCCATAGGCTCTTTTAAGATTCGATATTCTGAGCTCTTAGCTGAATTCTTTTGTTATATTTCTTTCTGGTTTCTATTATTGTTTGCCAAAGAGCGAGTGTCAACAACTTATCTGT